TCTTTCCCGTAAAACTAGTGTCCGAAATCTACAGAAACTAAGAAATTTTTGAAAATCTGGTCCCAGTCTTGGTTCCGTAAAAACGCTTTTTTTGATTTCGATCGCGTAAAAAGTCCTGCGGGACCCGTGCCGCAGACCTCTAATTCTTAGTATTATTAAAATTATTAGACAATACCTAGTATACATGATTTTCAAATTGAATAAATAAAAATTTGTTCGTTTCTACTTTTATACTTAGTCATGACTATAAATTGCTTTTACATAATAAATTACGAAGTGAAAATACGACGGAATATACACTCTAAAAAAAAATGCGACTTAGGATCAAATTAAGTCGCATTAATGTGTCTTATTATCACAGAATAAGGCACATTAATGCGACTTAATTTGATCCTAAGTCGCATTTTTTTTTAGAGTGTAGAAGATACCAGCAATCATGATGACTATTTTATGATTACTATTAGTAGTGCTTGTTCGCCTGATTGCAAACAAGGGTTATATGACCAAAAATGTCTGTCTGTCTGTCCGCAATAGAGAACTAACCTTATTACTCATTCTGAAAGAGACATGCAGCCATAAAACTTTCACAGTAAAGCTAATCGACTACAGGAATCAGAACGTCAGTAGTGTAAGGATTGTGTGACACAATAAAAGTTCTAAGTGGTATTATGTCGATGACAGTTTTTAGAAGATTGAGTACGGCACCTTCTGATGTTTTGAGGTAGGATAGATCGGTTTTGAGTGAATTAGGTTTATTTGACTTTATATAAAGATAGGGAAAAATGTTGTCTGTCTGTTAGTAGGAGTTTTCATGCTGTCCTTGAATTTTTTGGGAAAAAGGGAAGCGGTTGCTTGGTTTGGTAGTTGCGAAAACGTGTTCTTCCATTGATTTTCCGGAATGATAAAGCCAATGAAGTATCGAACTGAAAGCATCAGGAAAGAGACGATTCATTGCTCCTAATCTTCTTCTGCATCCGACCACTTCCATGCTCTTTCGAATGTGTACTTTTAAGACCTTCGAAAAGTAAGCTACTCGGAAAAGGGTGAAGAGATGTGTTTAACTAGGATAAACCGCATAGATCGGTTAAATGCTACTAATCATATTGAATGTTTAAGACACCCTGGTTGGTAGTCGCGTACTTTTAAAAATTTTTTCGAAAGTTATAGTATAATGGATTACGTTGCTACGAATGTGGGACAAGCCTTGAACAGTTTAATAAATAAGTCTTACTTAACTTGGTGTGCGTACAATTTTTTTATTGTCAAATTTAACAACTAGACTGTTCGACATTTACCAGCATCTTCATCAGTAGCATAAAAACTATTAGTGTAAGCAAGTGAAGCTAGACTGGAAGTACTGGCCAATTTTCACGATTCCATATAAAAGTCCAAACTGCTGTGAAAAGTAGCAAGATATATTTATTCGTCGTAGAAAAAGTCCCATAAATAAGTCGTAAAATAAGCGGAATAACGAAATTATTTAATCAAAAGATCTTGTTTTACCATATATTTATTATTAGATGTTTTGCCGCGTTTCTAGACTAGCATTAGCAGCAGCCAAGTGAAGAATCTAGAAGCAGAAATTTATTCAAAAGAACGTTTTGGATGTGATAATAATGTCAACATTTAATCACTAGATTTGAACAAAAATTCATACAACGGACCATTCTTCTACTATGGACTTGCATCATACTAATCCTTCTTTTCTCTCTTTTGCTCCTTCCTAAATAAGATTTTCTCGTTTAATTTTTTTTGTTCAATTTTTCCTTCTTTTTGGTAAAAAATGGACAAAGATGGCAGCTCTTAGAACAGCATTTAATCAAGGAGCCTTCTTTAAAGCTTATGGAGCGGGGCGTTTCAAACAGATTCCGGTCATATTTATAAGCAAATCGCTGGGTGATTATGGTAGGAAAGTATATATTTATATAGTTGAATCTGCTGTTTTACTTTGGTATTATAAGGACCGTGGTGAGAGAAAAAATCAGGGGCGGTGGTAAACCTTGAGAGAAAGTTAAAAGATTATGGGAGAAAGGTAAAAACGGTTTTAATAGTCCAAAATTTTTTGGGAGCAAGATTGTGAGCAGGAAAAATTAATAAATTCAACAAGCAGGAGGGGCGTATGCTTCCTTACAACCCCCTCTCACCGCGGCCTTGCGTATTATTATCTAATAGATCAATTGCTGACAACTTCTGATACACTTATGTATTTTGTTAAATTAGAGTTTTCAGCTTAAAATTTACATCCTTCTGTTTTGGCGAAGTTCCTCAGTTAACATTTTGCGATTCCTCTTTAATTCTTCTTTTTCAGAAAAACTTCAGTACGTTGCCAGATCATGGATCTATCATATAACTGGCACATGCAGTCCTTCTCTCTCCCATTCCACATAATTACACAATATTTTCGATGGAAGTGAGCACGTTACGTTTCAGAAAATAATTATCACAGAATTTTTTGAAGAAAATAGCCTTTTATCTTTGAAAAATCAGTCAGTTTTAGCAAAAAAGTTCAATCCCATACCATTTTTAACAGTATATAGAAAAAGAAGGTTTTGGGGCGTTTCTAGTTGTCACGGTTTCCCGGGCCAGTATACCGTTAAATAAGACCGTTTAGGGGTCAGCCTGCGGAGAATAACTGAGGGACCTTGTAGAAAATTTTCTGGTAATTTCCATTTATGATTTCGTTGAAAAAATCCATTAATTCACAAAAGTATTAACGTATTTCGAGTAACGCCTCTGAAAAACCTGTATAGATGAATGATTTTTTTTAAAATTCAAAGTTTTAGAAAACACTCACTTTGGTAAACTCTACATTTTGAGAATACCAGACTGTCTAATAGATAAATGTGTGAGTCGATAGTTTTTTAACAAATTTTTGGATATCCTTTCACAAGCTTATTTCTTTATTCGACTAGAGCTCGTAAAACTGTGGATGTTTCGAATCTTAATTCACCGATTCCAACTAACTTCAATAACTGAGACGTTGATCAAAATAGAGAATGTGCGACACTTTTCGTTCTGTAAAGCGAACAAAAATCATCGAACACTTCGGACAACTTCTGCTTATGTAAAACTCGATAGAGCATGATGTGATGAATTATCAGAATAGTAAATCTTGACGAAAGCATCATAAAGCCTTCAATCAGATACTGGTTAAAGAAATTTTGTTCGCTATTCAAAACATTTTTATGATATCTAACCGTGATGTTTGTCATCCAACGTGTGTTGGACCGCATATGCCTAGATGAAAAAAATAGGACAAGAAGTTTTCCATATTCCCTTAAGACTGTCTCATGTGAATAGTGTTGACGAAAATTTTATAAAAGTTTTTGGCAATTTAAGTCGACGGTTTATTAAGAGATTTTTTTAATCACACTTCTATAATTTTTTACCAAGAAACTCATTTAATAAAAAATACGGAACCAGATGATTTGAATACAAACAACGAACGCAAATTTTCTTAGATTATTTGTAAAAAGTATTTTAATTGCTGGAGAAAAATTTCTATTGATCGTTTTGACAATTATTGACAATAGTACTGTATTCTAACTTTGATTCTGAGTACATCTAGACATTAAAACGTTTTTAATGGAAGATTATTAGACGAAAAAAATAAGAAATTACATTTTTCCTCACTAAATCTTAATTTTTTAAAAATTTGGTAAAAGATGAAAAAAAATCATCATAATTAAATGAACAACGAATCTCTTCAAGTTGTCACGTGTACCAATTTTTTAACCAAAAATTTGAATATTGTTAGAACTAAGCGACTAACAGGAAATATCAATTCAAATCACATATCCGTTTTTTTAACATAACAATCAATAAGTATACTGCAAAAAATAGGGAGGAAGGTGCCCCATTACTCGACATAAAGAGTTTCAATAAAGCAATCTGTTTTTTTCTCAACTTCAAGAAAAGCTATGGATAGGAAACAATCATCATAATGATAAGAGAAGTAGTGCGAGAGCAACTGATTATTATTTAAAAATTTTCATATTAACCATACTAAAAAGGTACGAAAGCAGAATAGTTAGAATATTGTCTGATAACTAAATCAATATAACTTGTAAGTTTTCAAAAGACAACTAATGTCATGTTTGACATTATTTCAGATGTAAAAGCGGTCGATCGATGGACGTTCAAAAAAAGTAACATAAACAATGTAAAAAAAAGGTGAAACCTAATAAGTAATAGTTGGAATAGTGGCGGCGACGATAACAAACGCTGGACGTTCAGTATTAAACTTTTTTTTTTTTTTTAAGGTTGTATTATCATGTAGTGCTCACATTCACCATATATACCACACTGTGAAAATATATGTTATCAGGGAGAGACAGAGAGACAACAAAACACTTGATGATCTCTCTCAAATAATCGCAAAATGTGCGTATCGACCACAAGAAGAAATAGAAGATAGGAAACGGAACATGTGTACGCAGGAAATGAGTATAAGGCGACAATATGAACTCAATCAGAATCGGACAAATATTGAATATATTTGTTTTGATTAAAAAGAGAACTTTTCATTTAAACAACGATGCAGAATGACCTTGAGATTAAATATGAGTGACTGAATGACTGAGTTATTGTCTTCTTTGTCTTGCGTTCTTTATTAAATTTTTCTTGATGAAATTAACACAAGAACACTGTTGACAAGCATAGAAAGAGCATACAAATGCTATCTAATATAACTGAATTCGCCTGAGAATCTTAGAGAAAAAATGTTATCAAATATATCGCTACGTTATGTTTTAGTTTAGATTAGAAAATTTATACTAAAACTTGTAAGTACAGATTTTTTTCTTCTGATATAAACAGAAAACATTTTTTTTTATATCAAAATTAATCTTTTCATTCTATTGACATGAATAAACAACAGAATACGGCATAAATTCTATATTTCTGTTGAAAACGACCGGATCACATGTCACAATCATTATCACTGATCTAGCGCTGAACGTTCGTATGACTTTAAAACTAAAGACATTATATTTCTATTTTCAATTTGCACCATGTATTGGTTTAAAGAAATTATTTTGCATTATTGTTTGTTGATTGCATGTGCATAGACAATCTGTCTGCTGTTTTTGTAATAACGTTTTAGTTCTATGCGCGGTTGATTCAAGTAAACATGTCTGACAGACAATTGGCGTTAGTTGTGGCTCACAGGCATAGTATAAATGTACACCCGAATGATGTAAATTTGTTGTTAGAGGTTTTGAACAATGATGCTTCCACATAAGAGTACATGTACAACATGGATGAGTTGGATCAATACCAGCTGCAATCTCTTCATACACATTATTTGTACGGATCGATGGTGTTTGATGTTGTATATATGTATCTAATGCTTTTATTTCATCGTTATTAGGTAAACTAAGATTAGAGTCAGTTGTCATCGGTAACGAGGGGTAACGTGAATTTGTGGAAGTTACACAATCATAATTGGGTAAGACCTAAAATAACATAACTAAATTAATTAATTACAAGTACTTTGTTAAATCATTCCTTCATGTCTTTTTTACTTTTAAAACTTTAAATAGGTAGAATATGTTGATTCACACACATCTCTTACGGTTCAAGGTCATGATCAAGTTTTACTCTAAATCATTCTTTATGTACTACTCTAAAAGGATCTTAGAATAAAGCTATACAATTCAACTATTAGTCAATAATGTTGTAATTTGTTATGTTTATATTTTTAAACATATTTAAAGAAAAACAAAACATATCGTGTTCTATAGTTTAAAATCACACATGCACGTACTTATGTAAATTCGATGATGTTTTGTAAACAATTCATCCATGTAATAGTTTACATTAAATAAGACTAACCTCTACATGTACTATTTATAAAATTAGCTCCAATATTCATTCATTTTTTCGATAAAAGCAATAAAAATTGAACTTGAGAGGTTTCAAAGCACTTATGAGACGTGAATGTATATATTTAGTCAAGTATTTCAATCCACTTAAGTATATCTCTCTATTATAATAGTTCATTTGTGGACACACATCGATTACGTAACATGTCTCTTTTCTATTGAATATGTTAAGTAGTGATTAGATAAATTTCTCTTTCATATGACTTTTTTCATAAATGGTCTTAGATACGATAAAATAGAGATATCCAAAACTTACACTTGATAATGAATTTTGATTATTTGTATTTGTTTTGACAACATTTGAAGACCATGAATTATTGCTACGACGGCGATGAAATTTGCGATAACATTGTAACCTGTAAACAAATGATATTAATTAAAACTAAACAGTTTGTTAAACAAAACACAGAAAAGTCTTTCTAAGAAGAATATAATGCACTGTAACTCGATATTTCAAATTTACCCTATTATATTAAGTTTTGTGACTCTAACAAATATTATTTTATTATTTATTTTAGAACATTTAATAGAATTAATTCAAAAGCATAAGATATGTATAGCTCACTTCTAATAATACAAAGCGTCAATTTGACCTATATAATTGATAGTTTTCTCGGTAATAAAATAAATGAGTTAAAAGCAATAAAATATTCTCTAACCTTATACATAATAGAAAAATGACAACACATGTTGATGTAACAGTGATTAATGCTACCATAGCTATAGTTAAAATGACGATGAACGATGGTTGTTGTCTTTCTGCCATATTAACACTGGCAGAAATAATCCTATTAAATTCATATGGACATGTTAATGTTGTTATTAATAGATGAGATATTGTTGGTGGTGGTTTCAGGTTAAATTCAGGTGGTGGTTTTAACAAAAAACATTGTTGATGATAACAAGAAGATGAAGGTAATTTTGAACGATTCATCATTTCATTTAATCTAAAATATAAAATAATAACTTAAAGTTAGTATATAATGATTGTGAAAAGATTATTTTTATTCAATTGACATTTATATTAATGATATGCACGCTAAAAACATATTCAAATATTTGACATATTCCTGTGTAAATTTGTTAATTACATTTTATCACTCATTATTAAAAATAAAAACTATTTTACTTTTTAAATGTTTATTTTAGTGAAAAAGAAAAGTAGTCTGAATGATATATATATATATCTACATAAAGGGAAAAATCAGGTATTTCTACAACTAATACTTATAACTACTCGATTATAATTTAAAATTTATTCTTTTTTCAGTGGATAAAGTAGTATTTTAAAACAAGCATTGAACGAAAAAACTGTTAAACCGTACACTGTAGATCGAATCACTATAAAAAAAAGTAAAAAATAAATTAATTTTATTTAATTAATGTGCAGTCTATTAAAGATAATATCTACAAGAACTATTCTTGTTATCTAATCGTATTTTGAAATTAGTTAGCGATGTTCACATACCGTACTCAAATGTTGTTAATCACGTTTAACTTATAACTACGACAGTCTGATCTTTCATATAGAAATGCCAAATAAACGTAAGTTTAATTAATAAATGATATGATCAAATTACGAAGAAGTGAACGAGCACGACACGTATGTACTACAGACTATTAACTAACACACATACACACGATTGAACAATGTTTTACTAATTGGATGTGCATTTATAAGGAAATTGTGGTGAGCATTGACCATGTTCAGCTGACCCAGAGAAAGAAAGAGAAAGAGAGAGAGAGAAAAGGTAGAAAAAAAAAAAGAAGAATTTTTTTTCTTCTTTCCGTACATAGACTCTTATCTATCTGTTTTTCTTCATATAAGTCGAATTTGAAGATTTCTTCGTTTTGTTAGTGAAAACTTATTTTTTGAACGTTGACAGACGTTTGTTTTATTTTATGTCTTAACAATTATGAATCAAACAATTCATAAATGATGCAAAAAGGCAACTAATAGTAACGATGATAGCAAACATAAAGAAGACAAGTCACTTTCGTCTCGACATTAAAAAGAAAGAGAAAATACGGTCATTCTGATGTTTTCCCAACAAGTTTAATATTAAACGGGTTACAAAAACTTCAATTAATGGAATAGTCAAAAAACAAAACAAGAAACAGAATATAATTGCTGCTAGACAATAGTCCTTGTTTTAATATAATCAGCTGATTTGACAACATTTCTTCTTTTATTATCAACATTTTTTTTCTATTACTCAACTTTTTACAGAAATGTACTTTATTAAGGATTTAAAAAAGTTATTGTTTCTTGTCGAACTTTATAATTTTAGTGTCATTCTTTCAGTTATCGTCGTGACTCAAAAAATTAAACTAAACTAATTCTGATTCCCTTCTTCCTTCAGTTTAACAAATCTGTTTTGTAATGCATCACACATAAGAAGAGACAGTTTTATGAATACGGGGACACACTTATGTAATAAACATTCTTCGTGATTGAAACTATCCATTAAGAGAAAGAAAAATCGTCACACGAACTCTTGACACCTTCAAAACTGAACACAATCATTTTTACTCTCAACATGATGTGTCATCATTTCTAGTCAAATGACATAAACAATCAACAAAAAATTATCAAACTAGACAATCTTATTAGAAATGTATTATTAAAAAAAAGAATGAATAGCTAACTTTTTTTCGTTTTCAGGTAAGAAATCGATCATTAAACATGTATGACTGCAAGATATAGATCAAACATAGGCCAAACAAAGTATCATAATTTTAGATGAACGTGCTTCCTATAATCCCGCAAAGTGTATCATCAAATAGAATATAAACGATTTATTAAATTGAGGATATCTTTCTGTATTTGTATATATTCTCATTAATATTCCATTAGTTTAGAACGGTAGTAATATATTTAGGATTGATATTGATCCGAGTTTCGTATAATATCTACTCTTTAACTATGATAGGTATCATTAACTTTATTTTATGCAAATTTATAGATATATTGTCTTTGTTTAAAACGATAATGATTTGTCTTTGAATTGTTATTGTTAGAGAGGAAGTCAAAAATACATACCATGGAAAAACTTGAAGTAAACAAATAAGAGAAAAGAGTAACACAAAAGATCAAACAGTATTACAATTGTACTATAGCACTATAAAAATGCAAGAGGAAACTGAAAGAATTTTGGAAAAAACAATAAAGAAATATTTTATCAATCAACAATTAAATATTTTTTTTTTAATTAAGCGTACGATATCATACAACCATTGATCAATTCAATTTATAATTCAACTAAAAGCTATTTAAAATCATAATTTTACGGAAAAAGTTGCACAAGTTCATTATGACTCAATTATCTTACATACAGCTTACTTAGAAATGATACTTTATACAAATGTCTATATATTTTTATAATTTAATCTGTTTATACTGTTCATGTTTAGCGCCGTAAGATATTGAACCTCATTCCGCAAGATGTAATCTGCAACTGAATTATTCTTACAAACTATGAAAGTCTTACTTTTTATCCTTGATATTTTTCTTTTTTTACTATCCGTTGGCTGATATTCTCAGCAGGTATACAATACTGGAATATAAATAATAACTGTATCTTTTACCTTGACAGGTTTCAAGACTTTAATTACGATGATATATAGTAAACACGAAAAAGAAGGAGATGACCTTCACTAAACCAACAACATGTTTTGTTTTGTTTTGTAGAATGATATGTTCATAGGTTTGTATAACGCATGCATGCATACACAAAAATATGAACTTTGAATGTTTGATTAGAAAGAAGAAAAGAGAGAAAAATGAGTATTATCGAATGAATAAAAGAAAGAAGAAAACAAAAAAGAAAAAAAATAGTTGAACAGACAGTGATGTACAGTTCTTGAAAATTATAAAAAATTTCAAATTGTCCTTAAACATCCGTCTCTTCTATTGATATCATTAATATTAAGAGATCTCTAATTGTCTTATTCATCTCATTATCTGAATGGGTTATACAGTCACTATATACCACAATATGGCTAACTCTATCAAATAGCTGATATCATTTGAGTGTTAGTTACACACATCTGTTCATACAACTCTCCATTTACGAAAATATTCAGTTTCAATTCAAGTATTTACCCCAAAAGCAAAAAATTTTGAGCAAACAATGTCAAATGGAGACGTTCCTTAGTCACTCTTAAAACTAGATTTCTGTTAGAAAATTATGCTGCAGCTGATAAATTTTTTCATTTCTAATTTAACACACGTTTATTTTATAGGATTTTCTCATGTTTCAACATTATAGGTAAAAGTTTGCCTTTATCGAAGGTACCAATCATATCTTACTTCAACAAAATCAAATCTAATTAATCATATTTTCTTACACCGTTTTTGAGTACATATTTAAACAGTTTATCTGTTTAATTCGGATAACACACGAACAGTTTGTTGTCGTCCTTAATTAAACTTTGCTGATGATCTTTTGTCTATAATTAATCATCACGTCGTTACAATGAGCGCGTAAATGGTCAATAAAACGTAACACGCTTCAACGTGATATTTTAAATTGTTAAGAAAATAAATAATGGCAAACGTCCACACACACACACACACACAAACATCGAACAAATTAACTATATATATAAATATATCTATATATACACATGAACATTTAATCATGCTTATCAATACGAATGTATTTCTTATAAATCTGAATCTCATGAGACAAATATATATAGAAAGGTGGGCCTCTTTCCATCTGTCAAATGTGTGAACATATGCCTTTCACCGCAGACAATAAATGATTGCAACGATATATTCTACTGTGTCTCATAAATCTCTAAATAATCTCTTTGTTTCTTTCTAATTTTCATTAATAAGCCAAGGTGAATGAATGGAACATTTCATTCACCTATATGACATTTATAAGATCATATTGACGATTAATAGTTAGATTGAACAACGAATGTTCAAATATATAAATCAAAATAACAGATCATTGACACTTATAGTGTTTTTTGAACCTTGGCACAATTACGATTCATTCAGTTAACAGTTTAGAAAAAGTCATTTTTACTCTGTACTTCGTCTTTTATTATACGATCGCGATCAAGAAATCATCATTGATATAGACTGACACTTACGGAAGAATTTTTCCAAATGATTTTCCGCTTTTTCTTCAAAACATACTTGATAATAGATAGTTTCTGATTCTGATCACGAACTTAAGCTTCACTCGTCACCATATTGCTATTAAGGGCGCCGTTTTGATGACCGAAAGTCCTGTTGATCAAAAACTTCTTTGGCATCCTGATTTGTTGTGAATGCTGTAGAGAGTATGTCAGATCACTCATAGAAAATAATTTTCGACCCTAACGATGACCTTCTTTGCCAGATATAACATAATCACTAAGCTAAGTGTCAAATACATATCCTTTATATAAAAGTATTTTCTGATTTAACAGCACCCAAAACAATATTTCTGCTTTAGTAAAGTAAATGCAACTATAACTGATATATTCTAAGAGTAAGAAAAGAAACGTGAGAGTCAATAAATCTTTACTAGAGAGATAAAATTCTACAGTATATAAACGTTTGATAAAGAGTAAGAAGATACTTTTATATAAGGGATATTTATATTTGACTCTTAGCTTAGTGATTATGTTATATCTGGCGAAGAACGTTATGGTTAGATTTAAAAAGTATTTTCTGTGAGTGATCTGACGAAACCACCTAGTATTAAGTATATTTCAAAGAAAAAGCGAGGGACCACTTAGGAAAGTTGTCTTATTAGTTTTTTTCAAAACACAACAAGACAATCAATCGTGAATAGTATAAATACAGAAAATTTGCTTATCTTATCTTATCCAACAGACTTTATGAGAGAAAAGAGCGATTTGATTTTTGAAATAAAAATTTGATTTTGGTACTAACTTTATCACTTAATGGTTAAGGTCATCGTTCAGATTCCC